TGGGACCATAAACAAGAAACCATTTAGACTATGAAAGCAACTGCCCAGCAGAAATGAAGAAAGAAGTGGTGTAGAACAAGTTTTGCTCTGCTGTTCATAAGGAAAGCCTAATAGGAACGCCAGGGTCTTCCCAGAAATCATTCATTAATTTTACAAAGGCCAAGGGAAGAGGAACGAGCTCATATGCCGTGCAAACGCATCAAGCTGAAGGGGTTCATTGCAGTCATCTTAAATACCTTTTTCTCCTTGGAAAAGATCAGTGTTGGAAATGCCTCCAGCAATTTTTCAGCCACAGGGATCAGTTCCAAGTCCACCCCACTCCCAGCGGGGCTGAGCCAGCGGCGAGCAAACCTGGGGCTACACCGCTCACACCGCACGGCCCTCCAGCAGCCCGTCAGCCGCACTGGCACCCGACGGGAAAGGACGGGAGCAAGAGACAGCACAATATGCGGCAGTCATTGTAAGGAACAGAGTAAGAAAAAAATCTCTGCTGCTCCTCCCTTCCCTGAATACAAGGTTTGGGGAAAAGTTTTCCTCCTGCTCTACAGTTTCAGCATAAGTCTTACATTTTTAAGTGACAGTAAGTAAAAGCAAATCTGTCCTATGAATATGACCAGGTTCCAGACAACAAATTGCCTGCTATCAATTTACACTGTGAAATATTCATTAAATATCAACCACCAATCGACTGTTAAGGGACCCATCTTGATAAATGCTAGACAACAGATGAAACCAACAGAACTTCACAGTCTCCCTGCCTTGCTGAATGGGGCCATCAGTCATTTTTAAGTGGTCGTTTGTTACATTGTTTTATCCAAGATATTTATAATCATAATGAATTGAGACAAAACATCAAACTACAGCCTCCTTGCCTGAGAGTAATCTAAACTGAAAAGCACATAACAGAAAGGACTGATTGATGGCCAGTGCAAAATAACTCCCTTGAGATTAATATATTTTGTCCTGTTGATGTTTCTAGTCATAATTATACTCCAAGAATCCATCGAATGATGTTAGATGTGAAAGACCACTTAAGAGCAGTCACTTCCTTTCTAGGAAAACTGCATTTGTTTGCAATGGATACGGAGGGGACAGCAGAGGACAAAAACCAAACATATCATCACACTGCTAATATTCTGACTATGCAAATAAAAACATAAAACTTCCTCGAAACACCCTCAAACATATTAAAAAAAAAATCATTTTTATTGTGACCAGACTTCAAAAATCACAAAAACTGTAAAGATTGAAAGTCCAATGAGTCCAAACTCCATCCAAAACCAGGGTAGCTGCAAAGTTAGATGACACGGCTCAGGGCCTTGCCCAGCCTGCACCGGAGCATGGGGCTGTTCCTCCCCATGTGCAGGACTTTCCCCCCTGCTGAAACTGATGAGGTCCCTGACAGCCCATTTCTCCAGCCTGCCGAGGTCACCCCGAACGGCAGCCCTGCCCTCATTGCATCAGCTGGGTACCACCGCGCAGCACCACGCCCGTGCAGCCTCCTACGCCCTGCTCCGCTCCGGAGTCAGGGGAGGTGAGGCAAGGGCACGTCAGAGGTAGGAAGACTCCTGAGATGGGATGAGCTCTGGAGAGCTCAAGAAAGATCTCCTTTGTACTGAGTCATTCCCTCTAAATAGCTGAGCCAAACCTGGCTCTTGGTTTTCGTTGTTGGTTTGGGTTTTGTGTGGTTTTTTTGTTTGTTTTTTTTTTTTAGAGATGACGCACAGGTTACATTTGTGAGACAGCAGTACTTCGTGGGCTTATCACATAGGCCTCTTTAGAAAATAAGCAGTCATCTCCTAAACACTGAATTCAATACATCTGTGTTGTTTATCATTTTTTAAGCATTAAATAACTTCGAACATCATTAAGCCTGATCAAATGAACCACCCAGTAGTATTTCTGCAGGCTGTCCGTGAAACCACAGTGTGAGTGGGAGACTGTACCCAAGACCACTCATTAAGTACAATGCAGCCCTGTCTTTTCAATCTGAGCAACCTCTCCTCCCCTTTAATTTCACTCTCTGACATCCTTTCAGTCCTGCCCACTTCTTTTTGGTTTAAAGTCTTGATCTTTATTTTGCCCGGGACTTTCTGAGCTATGGTTCCTCCCTATCAGTTACGAAATTCCTTACCAGCTCCTACCCTGGTCTCTCATCTCCATACATCCACATTCAATCACTGTAGACTGAAAAATGTAAACTTTAAATGTCAGATTCAACAGAGAACTCAACCTGAGGCAGACCAACAAAGACCTAAAATATACCAATATAACATACAGGTGATACAACCCAAGTTGTTTACACCCCCAATGATATACCAACGTACTCATGTTAGCAATGGAAAGCTTTCAAAATCTTGGTTAGCAAAGCAGCAGTAAAGTGAAAGGCTGAGGCAGGGTGCTGGGTGAAATCCAATCTCTTTCCTCTTGAAGCCAGAACTTTATCAACTGATCTTAACAGTGACCACAAAGGAGCCCTCTCCACCTCTATTGCTTAAGTTTTCTGGAATCAGTCTTCCCAGAAAAGGAATTTTTAGCCTCGGACTTTGAATTCCTCCACATAACCACATTTTTTTCTCGTTCAACGATATGATTTGATCATGGTACTTTCCTAATAGAAAAGATTAGCAGCCGGATTCAGAGCCCTACATTTGCAAAGACTGCCAAACAGAAAACATGTGAAGAAATAACTCAGTATCCCCTTCCTTATCTGCACATATTTTGTGCAGCTTCCCCACGATTACTGCAGGATGTCATCAGAAGGGCATGAGAGAGTGGAACTATGGTTTGACAACAGAGGTCACCCTGTTCTCATGTTCTTCCTTCCTTCTGCCACCACTCTGCGTTGAACCAGAAAGGCAAAAGCAGAGAGAGGAACAGAGATACAGAGCTAGCAGCGCTAGCATCTGTCATCTGTTGCATCTCTCATGCAACTACAGTCTTTCCCAAGAAACTTGGGAGAAGGCCACCCGAGTCCAAGAGTCTTTTGCGTTTGCCTGATCTGAAAGCCCTCCCCCCTCTGCGCAGACTCTAGTTACAATGGCCCCTCTCAAGGATCTGACAAATCCTTAACGTTTTCTGCCCTGGTGTCACTTCCCAAGCTGAATACCTAAGACTGTCCGCTAGTCTGGCCCAGTTTCTCCTCAATTCAATGCAAAACATTACCACGCTATGATAGTACTGCTCTGTGCTGTCTTCTGGATAGTATGAGGAGGCCACTGTAATATAATGCTATCCAGAGATAGCTTACAGATAATTAGGTTGGTCTTTGCACCCTCTCACACTTTCTGCCAGTAAAGAGTCTCCCCGAGTTCGCACATACAGGATTTTATCATTGCAGTTCTGGAAGATACAAGCAAGGTTTGGATGGTATCAGTTTTTCACTCTGCTATTCATAGCCAGGAGGTCTGAGCAGGGAAGTGTTTGCTCCCCCGTGATGCAAGCCCATTCCGAGCTATCAGACATTTGCATGGACAGCAGCCACCGACACGTCAGCTATCAAACCAAAGAGAAATTCCTTAAGACTTTGTGCGCTGGTTTTAGCAGGCAGCAACTGCTGGTTCGTATCTGGGCATACGGGTCCCTGATCCCATACAGAAATCGTGTACATTACTGCAGAGCTACGAATACCACTCGCTATTAGGGTTTAAATTTGGCTCCTGGAGGTGTTTTCTGGGACCCGTGGTATATAAAGCAGATGTTGTATGGATGCTTCTGAACTAAAGATTGTTTCACTGGCTGTTATTTCAGGAGACTGGATTGAAGGACACAGATGATTCCCTCAAGACTTACGCTGCTTGTGAATCCGGAGATAGCTAGGATCAGCATGTCCACTACCTGTTGTAAACACTAAAAAAGCATACCCAAGAAGGAATTAAACTCTTCTATATCTGTCAGTTGTTGACAAACTGTAAAGCTTCTGAACCACTAAAAGATTGATAAAACCAAATTATCACTGAGATAAATAAGAAACTTTGTCCTCCTGAACTACTTTGCTCAAGTTAATAGAACTATAGACTTACATTTCTGGTATTGAACTGACAGTGTGCTTTTGAAAAAATCTGGGGGTTTTGCTGGTTTTTTTGATTGTTCCCACCCCTGACTGGGATTCAGGAGTTGAAGAAAGCTCTCTAGGAAAGAAGTTTTCCACCGTAACATATCCCTCCTTGACTAGCAGAGTTTCCAGAATGCCTTATTTAACTGAGCAGCTGCGCAGCATCCCGCTGGACCGTACCCTGTATCCTACTGTACCGCACCCTGCATTTGTCATTACAATTCATTTGCTCTGGTGCAAACCCACAGGCACTGTCAGTTTTGTTTAAACAGCCTCGGCAGGAATGGGTTAACGTAGCATCCCAGCCAAAGCCTACAGTACACAGTCACAACAATTCAGATTGACAGATGTCAAGGCCTACCGAATTTTATCATCTTACAAAGCATAACAATAAAGTCAGTAAAACACGGAGGTCCACTAACAGCTTCTTCCTTTTTAACTAGCGCAGAAAATGCATGCTGTAAGACAGCCATCTCTCTATTATAAGAAAACAAAGCACCAAGATACTTTTGAAGATATCGTATCCTATTTGACTTCTTAAACAGCATTTGTCTGCGTGGCGCCTGAGTGCCACTCCACAACGTATTAAGCTTCATAGCCAGTAGCTATAAAGGAGACAACGCCTCTCTCATTCTCCCTTCATCCTTGCCCATAAGAATAATGAACACCACTATGCATCGCCCATTCAAACACCTGGCTTCAAAGGAATTACCTATTTCCTTGACATACTACTAGGTTTTCCTTTGAACATTCAGGTTTGGTCAGACACTGTTGCGCTAAGCTACAGCTATGTTAAGCTATAGTATTCTCCTGCCTGAAAGACAATACGGCATATGAAGCTCAGACCGGTTATTTCAACTATTATATTTTGTAACACAATATAAAGTTTTGTTAATAGCAGTAATATATGTATATAATGCATATGGCTGTAAAAACGTCAACCAACTTTTATGGCTTTCCTCTTCATATGAATATTTAGTCATCCATTCGTCCCTAGATCCACTTCAATCCTGAAAAAGAAAAGATGAAATAATGTAATTGATTTATTTTCTTAGAGGTTCATTAATTTCTCAAATATTATTGTATACGTAAATAAAAAAACCTAAGCATGGACAGCCGTTCCATAGTAAAACAGAGATCAGAAGAACAGTAAGTTTATAAGCACTTTAAATAAAACTGCATAAGTAAGATAAAAAGTGTATTGGTGAAAGCCTTATGTTTCCTCTTACCTAATGATTTCAGTCAATGCTCTCAGTGTCTTTTAATTTCTGAGCTGCTACTTGAGGGTACTAAATCCCAACTGCTTTAATTAGTCTTCAGGGCCCATTATATATCAGTACCCTGCGTTTGTACAGGTGAACTTTCCAGCAGTTACTGAGTGCAAATACTGTTTACTGTATTTCAAAATGTGCTTCCCAGAAATACTATGCGAGATCTGGACAATAACGCATTAAAAGCCAAAATACATTTATTAGTGAGCTCAGTCAATACTCCAGCCACGGGAAATAAGTGTGCAAGACCATTACAAAATTTGAATACGTATTTCTTGAAGGGTTTCCTATGGATACATGATTATTTTAGTTATATTTCCACATGAATCTGTAAGAGAAAAATGTATATAGATATTTAAATACTATATTATACTTTTGGGAGGTTCCTTCAGGATTAAGAAAATATACTAATCCGGTAGTCTAACTTTTTTAAAGCTTTGGGGGAGAAAAAGCTTCAGATGTCCGAAACTTAAACAGTAGACAGTATGTCTTAATCCTTAAATTGCCAGAATACGTGCATATATCTGGAAGCAAATGCTACTTACATATGTCTCTTAATAATGGAAATGGTGTGAAGTCAAGAATCTAAATCTGCTGTCAGAGTTGTTATAAACAATCTGCTGTTATTTTTATATCATTCAAAAAAAGGTCATCCTTCAAATAGCAGTGGAGCATCACCTGCCCGCTTTTAAACCACAACCCAGTATTTCATTACTGCTGTACGTACAACAACATGACTAACAGGTTTCCAAACACTAAGCAAACTTTTACACTGAAAACAAGACAAGAAGCTCCCTTAAGCATGTAATATCAGTAAATATTCATATACTGTGCTACTATTATACTGACTAAACACCATGCACTTAATTTTATTTCTAAGAAAATATTAAGGTTAATAGAAAAAAAGTTCCAGATATTCATATGAATCATAAAAGGTTGCAAAATCACTACAAACACTGACCTAACTAGATGTAACTAAATACTGTAGGCTTAGAGCATGCTAACTATTGCAAGACCATTTGCCCTATCTCCCATGCATCTTGTAGACTCTTTCCTTTTTGTTGTTCAATCTCCCTTGCCATTATTTGGATTGCTTCAAAATTTCCATTTCATGAAGCAGATTTTCTTTTTTTTTTTTTATTTTTTTTTAAATTGCACACTTGAAGAACCACCTTTGAGTTTCTAATGGCTCTTTCTCTGTGCTAATGTCCAAAAATGGGACAAGTGGACCAGGTTTTCCACATCCTGGACTTACATGATGTGGTTATCTAACCTGAGCAGGAAATTACTTAGTCATCAAGTTCTTTAAAATTAAATGTAATGTATTCAAAAGCTTCATCAGGTCTCTGTCAGAGGAAGACAGAGTTTGACCTGTAATTGTTTCCAGTTCTCCAGGTTCTCTCATCATTACTCCTCCCTACACACGCACACTCTCCTACAACGCAACTCAGCCTCAAGTTACACACAAACGCTGAAGTCCTATTAGGTTCCCGTGGCTATGGTGACAGAGCAAACATGGCTATGTGTTTCAAAACTGCTAACACACCACCATCCAACTAGCCATAGCCACAGCTGGTTTTGCGTTATTAAATCACGTGCAACAGCCCTCCTCATGAAAAAGCTACTTCGTTAGCAATGACAAATAATTGGGTTTGCCTATTAATTCTCTTCAGGTCTGCACAATTTATCAAGCACTGAATTGCCCACAACCTTGCATCACTGGGGTGCTCTCCTCCATGAAAGGGCTTTTGCTTGTCCTCCTCTTCACCAAGCACAAGCAGGGCACACCACAAGCTCCGGCAGTGCCACCGTCCCACAACGCTGCTCTACCATGATACTCGCAGCTTGGGGGTAGGACAGGGGTTATCCCTTAGCACTGACCGCCAGGGTGACCAAGAACACTGATTTTGGTGGCCAATGCACACTTCCACACATGCCACCCATACAGGCCACAGGCCTCTTCATTGCAACTATTTTAGGCTGCTTTTGGGGAGAAGATGAAGAACAAACTGTTCATCTGAAAACAGCATTTAACTAGTAACTCCACAAATCTGTTGTCTCATTTTCAGAAGACCTGTACTTTCAGATGAAAGTACTTTGAAATGCGTATGAAAAAATACAGGCCACAGGCCTCTTCATTGCAACTATTTTAGGCTGCTTTTGGGGAGAAGATGAAGAACAAACTGTTCATCTGAAAACGGCATTTAACTAGTAACTCCGCAAATCTGTTGTCTCATTTTCAGAAGACCTGAAAAGCTTCAGCTTCAGATGAAAGTACTTTGAAATGCATATGAAAAATAGGACCATCTGTCCTTACAGATCTAGTGCATCCATTCTGCCACGTGTGTCACCGCTGTGAAACCTGCTCTGGACTTTGGTTTTCAGCGGCTTGCTGTGAAATCTCAGTTTCTACTATCAGGAATATGAAGACAGACATGAAAGTCCAAACAGAAGCATCTTCCATTTGTATTGAGTGGTTTTTACACCAGAAGAAAATCTACCCGATGAGACAACTGCACAATATTCCTGATTCAAAACCTTGATGTCAAAAAGGCTCCTTAAGTAATCATAGAGCAAAGCACCTAACAAACCACCAGTTTCAACCAGAAGAAAGACATTTAAGTAGCAAACACAGAATTATGTCCACTTCCAGCAAAAGGCTAACCATCGTCTTAAAATCACGTTTTCAGACCCCACAAGTTTATAAAGCTTATGAATGTCACCAAACGTTAGATTCCTTCTCCTACAGCAAGAGAAAACCAAACAGAAATTACAACACCTAGTCCATTTTGAAAACCTGTCTTGATCAGAATAAATGCCCTGGTAGTCCCACCCTGGCCGGCATCCCCACCCACCGGCGGAGCTGAGCAGGACTCGCGGACCAGAGATAAGGAACATGACAAGGGTTTCAGGACAATCATGCTGAGCATATTTCTAGACAAACAGAGGCCACGATGTGTGTAGAGATGCCCTTGTCTCTACAAAAAGAACATTTTTGAACGTATAAAGCCACATTAATTCATTAAAAACCAAGTTGATGCTAGTATCACTTTCACATCTCTTTTACATACTTCTAACTTCTAAGTAAATTCCCATTAATACAGTTACAAATTATTCCTCGTGCTATTTTCCCCCTTTTCTAATTCAGATAGATATGGGAACATACATTTGGAAAAGACCAACTCATTCACAAAGTTAAGTCATTTGCTGAATCAGGATTTATTAACTTTTCCCTCTACAAAGCAAACCCCTTATCTGGGCGTAACTGTGTTTCTTAATCGCCTTCTTGCATCATTTATTCTACTTTAAAAAGTACGCACTTTTCTTCTTGAAAGCCCATAGATCTGCACTTAGACTTCTGCAATCCCTTTCAAAGGCCCTGAGTCACACCAAACTTCCCCGAAGACAGAGGAAGACAGTGACTTCTCCCAAACTCATGAAGGCCACCCTGAACATCAGGTAAGGCAGGATCACCAAAAGCATGGTTTCAGCAGCGTTCAGAGATGAAAGAACACAGGTTATCCTCAACCCTTTATATTACTAGCAGCCACATACTTCCCCTTTTTTCCTATGTTTCCGATTCTTGCAGGGAAATTCGTAAACTCCATAAAGCAGACATTCTGCAGAAACTACAGATACAAATATACATTAACCATGAGCTACAGATTTGGAACAGTCCTCAACATTTAAAATCGGTAAGTGACAGGAGAGGCTGAAATTCAGTGCAGCATTGCACTGAATCAGCATACCCAAAGATCTACCTAAATTGCACTTTGAGTGCCTACCTTTCTTGCCTTGGGTCTAGCCCCCAGGATTTTTGTAAACTGAGTTCTGTACCACTGTAACTGAAACTAGCCAAAACACTGTGCCACAAAGTTGACTGTAAAAAAGTTAAAAAGCTTTAAATTCCAACATAAGCCGCTGTCCCACCAGCAGCCATCACAAGATGAACCAGGTAATACAGCTTAAAACGCATTCAGTTTAGGTTAAGTGTAACTGCCATATATTTTATAGACCTCACAGGACCAAAGAAACACTTGCTACGCATTCCATTACTCACTATACAGTTGCGATCACAAGGTTTATTCTGTCCTCAGCTAAAGTTTTTGCTAGTCCTTGATTGTGATTTCTGTTCAAACAAGGCAAGCGGAGTCACTTGCTTTAAGATACCAGCCCCCCCACCAACATCTTTGTTGCTCTGACGTAGTGTTATAACAAAAATATCTTAAGCTGCTCAGAATATTTCTGAAAATTAACTTAATACTTCAACTTCTGGTTTTCACTGGTATTTTAATAAAAGTAAAGAGAAGCAGGAGGCAGAGAGTGGGATGCTTGTTGCTAGGTGATACCTAGCTCTCCTGAACTCCTACAGACTGAAATATTTATCCAGACTCCCACGAAGAATGACATCTAGCATAGAGAAAGAAGAGACGCAGGCACTTACTGAATCATGATTCAAGGTAAGAAGCAGCAGCTCTGCCACCAGCCTGGTCCCTGGGGTACCTAAGCTGAGGAGGCTGCAGTC